CAGTACCTACACTTCGGAACTCCCTGCCTATTGATAACATGAGGGCGCCTTCCCTGTAAACTTTTTGGTGCCAGCTCAAAACCGTGTTTTTAGGCAAGCCTACCCAAATGTTTAGGAAATAGATGCGAGTTTTAATCTATTGTTATTTTTAACTTTTCAAAAGTCTTAAATGATTGTTGTTAATTCTTCTTATTGGTAATTTTATTGTTGTATCTTCTTTTTCAGTAAATTGCTTTGAGGGCTTTTCTTTTTTTTTACAATCAAATGTTTATGAAGTAATAAGAAGTAAATCTAATCCAAATCAAGAAATTCACTGCTACACTTGACGAGCTGTGTAAAAGTTGGAATTAACCTCACCGAAAGCAGATATGTATAGCAATGATGTTTTCACCACTTGGAGAGGCTCACATCACTCTCCCCAGTCTTTCATCACATGGACAAACTCTTGTAATGGTTAGGGTGCTGGACCAGGACTTGCGAGAGACCAAGATCGAAATCCCCACCTAGCCATGAAGCTCACTGGGTGACCTCAATGGCCAGCCACCATCTCTCAGCCCAGCCTACCTCACAGGGTTGTTGTGAGGATAAAAATGGGGAAGGCAGAAACCCATGCACACCACCTTGAGCTTGTTAGAGGAAAGGCAGGACATAACTGTAATAGATAAATAAAAAAATAAGGTTGAAGTCAATATGGATGATAGGAAGATCAGCTTTTTAGAGTGAGGACTGATTTTGTGAATTGGGGAAAAAGGGGTACAGCAAAATGCAAGACCTGCTTTCCTCAGCCGTGCTAGCCCTAGAGAAAAGGAATAATCCAGTTTCGGGGGGGAAGGTAATTATGCCCCCAATAACCTGATGCAATGTTTCATCCCTGTCGTAGTTCCAGAGCGAGGACAGGACATCTTCCATCACAGACACAGGAAAGCTGCTTCCTGTTGAGTCAGACCATTGGTCCATCTAGCGCAGTTCTCCCAACACTGACTGGCAGCAGCTGTCCAAGTTTTCAGGTAGGCAGCCTTACCTGCAGATGCCGGGGGAGGAAGAGGATGGAACATGGGACCTTTGACATGCAAAGCATGTCCTCTGCTACTGAGCCATGACAGTTCCTTTCATTTTTAAAAAATTTGTAGTTGCTGGATCATACAAATGAATTCTGATTTCACTGTTGATTAAAAAAAAAAGCCCCCCCCCACCTCTGCTTCTAATTCTTCCCTTCGTGCTCCCCACAGTCCATTCTTCTAATGTGATTAAAGGATGATGCAGGGGAGATGGGGGGGAAAAAAAGAATAACACCCCTTGGTTATTACATACGGTTTCTCAGCACACACAAAAGCCTTTAATTGATGTCAAACCCTTGCACAGATAATTGATTGTATGACTAAAATGTAGCGAGTAAATGTAGAGGGAAGACAGGGAGTCAAGGGCAATGTCGCCAGCTCAAGTCATGTGATTCATTTGGACTGAATCGGTGTTTATCCAGAGCCTGGAATTTCAGAGGGCAGCTTGGATTTAGAGGGGCCTTGGGAGACAGAATCTTTTTGTTTCAAAATCCTCTACCAAGTTTGCAAGGGCATGGCAAGAATGCATGCCTCTACAGCAGGGACAGATGGGGAAATTCGATTCTGTTTGCATTTAAACCCAGTTTGATCCAGTTCACACTTCCGGAAACAATTCATTAACTGAACACAGCCATCCCTCTGGAATCTGTCCAAATTTTTCCAATGCAAAGAGCATTTATAAAAATGCATTATATTAAGGCAGCACGTGCACAAGAACTGAGATGTTGTTGAAAATGACATACACAAATACATTGTGTTAGGAGAAATAGCTTGCAAAACTGTGCGCTTTTATCAAAATTGCATCCCGCCCGCCCCGAGTTCAGAACTTACAAGCTGCTGTGATAAAGTATAAAATGTACTTAAGAAGGCTAAGGTAATATCAACACAGACATGCACACTCAGTGGAACAGAAGTTTAATTTATTTCAAAGCCCAAATAGTCTAAAGAGCGAAAAGAACCACATGGAAGAGAATGAAGTTGAAGAGAGCCAGTGTGGTATAGTGGTTTAAGTGTTGGACTAAGACCTGGGACAGACTACGGTTCAAATCCCCACTTGGTCATGAAGCTCACCTTGGGCCAGTCACTGCCTCTTAGCCTAACCTACCTCACAGGGTTGCTGTGGGGGTTAAATGCAGAAGGGAAGACCCATACACGGCACCTTGAGATCCTTGGAGGAAAAGGTGGGACATAAATGCTATAAATAAAACAGCTAATAATAAGATGAAATCATTCAACGCTCCACCACCAAACAAATTTAATTCATGTTCATTTCGCCCATCAATTCTGGGAACTACTTGCGGGTGCAGTTCCAAGATTCAGTGAACTTTGTGAAATGGAACTAGTTAGTTCCAAGCGCTGAGCTCAACTACCAAGTCCAGTACTCAAAATTCCCTCGCTGCAACCACTAGTTTGAAGAGAGGATTTTGAACAGTTGTGGCTCTGAAACAGCTCTCCAACTCTACGCTATGCTTCTGAGAGAGGAGGATGCAGTTAATCATAGTGTGAATCTGTCAGTGCTTTGACTGCAAGTTGCTGGCATCCTTTTAAAGCACTGGTCCTGTAGATTCTGCCATCTTCAGATTGCTTTGTTTGTGGAAACAATCAGCCAGGTTGCCCATTGTACAGCGGCAGCCTCAGCAACTCCTTAATTAAGTGCTTTGTTGAGGTATATTAGAGAGAGAGAGAGATGCATTCTGCCAAGGACTCTCACATCTGTTTCAGGGTTTTCAACCTCTTGAAATGGCACTCAGGGAACTGCGTCTTGGTGGGGGCTTGGAGCTCCCTGGAGGCTCCAGACAAAGGAATAAAAAAACCCCTCATTGCTCTGATATTCAGGCTGCTGTGCCAGCAGCGTAAGATCCATTCATTCCGTTCTTATGATGCAGTGATCAAGTAGCGAGTGGACAGATTCTCTGCTGGAAGGCCAAAAGCCACCAGCTGCAGGCAAATATCAGAAGAGATAGTCCAAGTCAGCTTGGAGTGTCTGAAAGTTGACATGATGCACCCCTCCCCTTAGTGGCACACCTATCTATCTATCTATCTATCTATCTATCTATCTATCTATCATCTATCTATCATCTATCTCTCTATGCCTCTATATCAGTGGTTCTCAACCTGTGGGTCCCCAGATGTTGTTGGACTACAACTCTAATAATAATAATAATAATAATAATAATAATTTATTAATACCCTGCACATCTGGCTGGGTTTCCCCAGCCACTCTGGGTGGCTTCCAACAAAACACCAAAATACAATAAACTATTAAACATTAAAAGCTTCACTAAACAGGGCTGCCTTCAGATGTCTTCTAAAAGTTTGGTACCTCAGCGTCCGGGCAGAACAATGGAGGTGGAGACACTCCTTCAGGTATACTGGACTGAGGCCATCCCTGAGCTCTGCCCTTGCTAGCTAGGGGTGATGGGAGTTGTAGTTCAACAACATCTGGGGACCCACAGGTTGAGAAAGGCTGCTATATATCTATATCTATATCACCAATAGTTCACAATTTGACACCTTGATGTGCATATAAAAATGAGATGGCCACTGCGTGAGATGGCCACTTGGATCTGCATGATGTCGTCCAGCACCTCAATTATGAACTGTAGAATTGGAAGAGACCCTGAGGGTCATCCATTCCAATGCCCCCTGTGATGCAGGAATCCTGCCTACAGCCATCCCTGGGTGGACTCAAACCACCCACCTTCTAGTTAGCAGGCACACCAACCCATTGCGCCACAGAGACAGAGCTGTATCCTCCTTGGTCGGGGAAGAGCTCCAGAGTCGAAGATGACTGGGTCTCCAAATGTACCTAGTAGTGGCATATGAGAGCTGAAAATATTTCCAATATATTTCACATCTGGCAACCAAGGTGTCCCTTTGGTTTCAGATAGTACACAGGTAGATGAGTCTTCAAAGCTGGGGACACCAATTTTCATGGCCCTCTAGCAGCTATGTACCAGAAGTAATATATTTAGCATTAACTCAGGCAGTGTCTCTGCATGTATATTTTGCTCTGGGAGGCTTAGTTTGGCCAGAATTGAGTATACACTTCCAGAGTGTAGCTGAAGCGAATGGGAAAGGCTGCTTGTGCAGGAGCAATGTGCTCACACAGTATGGGTTTGGACAGAAGACTCTTGCTTATAGGATTATAGGAACATACCAATGTCCACTTTTGTACGGGGGAGGTCCCTCACCTCGAATGGAGGGGTTCATGGGATGGTGGGCTCCAAACTTAGCACTGTGCCGGTGTGTGGCTGCCGAATGGCTGGCAGAGCCCCGTGTTGGTTGTTGAGGTCCTGCTCCCTCAGTCATTCACCTAACCTACACCTCCTCCACTGCCTTGCAATGTCCTTCAGTAAACAGGTCATCTCATCCTGCCCTATGAATTTCTGTTCAGTGACAGATGCTGGTAGATTCCAGAGAACTGGCTTGCGAGCAACTGCTGGTTATGCTTAGAACAGATGTGGGGAAACTTTGGCCCCCCAGATGTTGCTGGGCTGCAACTCCCATCACCCCTGGCCATTGGCCACGTTTTCCAGGACTGATGGGAGTTGTAGTTCTACAACAGCTGGAGGGACACAAGCCCTTCACATCTGGATAGGAACAAGGACTAATTCCCTTTATGGACCCAGCTGAAAGCAGGGGAGAATGAGCATTAGGCCTAAAGATTTATGGTATTTATGTGTGTGTCTTTACATGAGGGAAAAAACCTATAGGAAGCCTCCCTGCTCTAAGAAATCTAGCAGCACAATGTTGGATTTTTCATGGTTGTTGTTTTTTTTTGGTGGAAATTTATACCTCAATGCAGAAATGTTATTTCAAAATCTCTTTTTTTTAATTCAACTGTTATTCAGCAATATACAATACGGTTTATAAACAAATGTCTTACCTTGTTTCCAATCTTTCTCTTTTTTTATATTTAAAAATAAATATTATCGACAGTGAATATCCATTATGGTAAGATGTGCCTTTTTAAAAAATCAAGAGTTCCCCCCAAAAGAAATAATTTAATTAAAAAAGAGGGGGAGGGGAAGGGAGGAGGAGAAAGGAAATAATAAAAATAAAAATAAAAAGCCTAACCACAATAATCTACTAAAAAATAGGACCCTTCCTTAGAAGGGCTTTGCCCCCGCCCCATGTCTTTACATATCATCATAAAAGCAACTGTTCAACAGTTCGTGCAAAATTAATTGTCAGAGGAAAGGTTTAGAAAAAAAAGACGTTGGAAAAGAGAGAAATAATAGCTACCTTGTGTGGAACAGGGCATTGATACCATAGAATCTTGAAACTAGATGCATTATTTCAGGTGACTGACCTTTGTGTAATGTCCCAAAAATATGCTTTACCCCTCCCCTTGTTGAATGTGTTCATGCTTCTTTTCCAGTCTCTTTAAGTCCATCTTTAAGATTCTAGTTCTCATTGAGGGTTCTTTTTCCGTGTGTTTTTTGTTTTTGTTTTAAATAGTTTCCTTCTCATTTGGCTGAGGATTATCAGATAAAGAAGTCCATCAGTGGTCTAAGAATAAGTGTACAAGCTTATGGAACATCAACAGGAACGAATAGAGGAAAGGATCTGTCACGTAAATTGGCTCAGTACCTAGGAGGGAACAAGAGGAAGAAAAACGAAGGAGGGAGGGAGAAAGAAAGAAAGAAGAGAAAGGTTTAATTTTTGCAGCAGTTCAGAATCATTGATAACTTTAATGTTTTGGTGAAGCACTGAGTGGTCACAGGGCAGGCATGGGGAACTTTGACCTGTCAGGTGTTGCTGAACTACAACTCCCATCATCCTTGGCCATTTCTTCTGGGGCTGATGGGAGTTGAGCTTCAGTAACATCTGGAGGGCCACAGGCTCCCCACATACCCCACAGAGAATGCCTTCAGTTCAGGCAGTTTAGAGCAGAGGGGTGCAACCTGTGGCAGTAGCCGGTTAGATGATGGACCAATAATGCAAGGACCATTTTTAGAAGTGTATGTCCATAAATACGACACATCCCATGTTCATTGCCCAGGCTGAGTGTCATTCCTAATGTGTATATAGGCAAAGGGAACTCTTGGATTGTTCTGTCTAGCCCAGGGGTAGTCAACATTTTTATACCTACCGCCCACGAATGCATCTTTCTTTATGGTAAAATTTCCTTACCACCCACCAGTGCTCGATGGAAGGAGGATTCAGCTTGTGCCGTAGAACCTCCTACCGCCCACCTAGAATCCTGAAACGCCCACTAGTGGGTGGTTGGGACCAGGTTGACAACCCCTGGTCTAACCACTACAAATCTTTCTGGACTGATCTATGCTCACAGATAGGGCTGGCTGGCTCCTTAGTCAATATTGTTGTCTAATGCATGCTGATTGTGAGCATGAAGACGCTGAACTCTGTTCAATGTTTAGAGCTTCAAAGATATTCTTTTAAAAGAAATCTTATTCCCCCCCTGCCTTATTTATTTGAAAATAAATAAAGGCATACTTGGAACATAAATTCTATGGTTGATTACAGCTTGCATGGATCGAAACAATAAAATATCATATTGCCTAGATGATGAAAAGGGATAAAACGCAAGCAAAAAGGTGCACTCTTCTCTGCCTCTATCAATCGATAACACTCATCCCCCTGTCTGCATTCCTGCTATTAGATTTCAGTGCAATCCAATTTGGAGAGCCCCAAAGAGCGTTCCAAGAAGCCACCTTGCAGGAATACGGCTGGCCTCCGCTGTTCATACGCAATTGTAATTAAAAGCTCTGCATAAATATTTGTGTAGGGTTGCATCACCATGGATTAGCTGTGTGTGTTGAAAAGAGAAAGGTGAGCTCACGCGCCTGTGCTTCTGGTACAAGAGAAATGCCAGCCAATGTAAAGGCACATATAAAGGTAAAGGGACCCCTGACCATTAGGTCCAGTCATGGCCGACTCTGGGGTTGCGGCGCTCATCTCGCTTTACTGGCCGAGGGAGCCGGCATACAGCTTCCGGGTCATGTGGCCAGCATGACTAAGCCGCTTCTGGCGAACCAAAGCAGCACATGGAAATGCCGTTTACCTACCCGCTGGAGCGGTACCTATTTATCTACTTGCACTTTGACATGCTTTCGAACTGCTAGGTTGGCAGGAGCAGGGATCGAGTAGCAGGAGCTCACCCCGTCCCAGGGATTCGAACCACCGACCTTCTGATCAGCAAGTCCTAAGCTCTGTGGTTTAACCTACAGCGCCACCCGCGTCTCCCTTAAAGCAGAACAATATTGGTGTCGTGTAGATGGATGAAGAGGAGAATTGGAAGAAGCTCCTTCTCCTTTCTAGGGACAGAGAGAAACTCGGTTCATTTCAGCTTCAGTGAGAAATGACACAATTCACACTTTTTGAAAAAAAAAACCCCTCTGTGCATCAAAACTTGGTTCTCTTTCCAAGACGGCACACCTCCAAAATTTGCAAGGTGTTTCTTCAACCAAGTGATGTATACAAAAAAGTGTATATGGGGAGCCGGTGTGTGTATAAGCATCCATACATTCATGGCAATAATGTACGAAAATATGCATTGCATCAGCAGAAATAGCTTGCAAAAGAGTGCATAATAGGGAGAAAGTGCAGAAAAATGCAGGTGAATTTTCATGATTCGCTCGCTGATAAGGAAATGTAGAGAACGGAACTTAGAAAGAGAAATGCCTGTGGGAAACCCACTAGCAGGATTCGAACTCAAGAGCACCCTCCCCTGCTGTGGTTTCCATCAACTGATATTCAGAAGCATTACTGCCTCCAACTGGGGAGGTAGAGCATGGCCATCTCAGCTAGTAACCAATAGTAGCTTCATTTGCCATGAAATTGTCGACTCGTCTTTTAAAGCCATCTATGTTGGTGGCCATCACTGCCTCCTGTGGGAGTCAGTTCCAATGATCCTTCAGTTTGTCTAATCCTCTTTTTTTAAAAAAAAGCAGTCTAAGCTACTGGCCATAGTGATATATTTGGAAACCCAAAAATTATTTAATTTAATTCATTAAGCACATTTATATCCCACTTTGAAAGAAAATATCTTCACACAATGGCATGTAATTACATGCAACATACACTTAGCACTACAGACCCCCCCCCCCCTTTTGGGAAGCAATCATACAACCTCATGGAGGAGAGGATGTGATAGCTTGCAGAGCCTCTAACCAACATGGTTTGGAGCAAAATTGCTTTCTGACCCCCTAGCAATGCCATGAGTGCACACGGAAATCCCTGCGGCATGATGTATTTCAAGAGAGTTCCAGGCCTGAGCTCTGTAGAACGTAAACAGTAGAAGGAGTGCCTCTGTGCATGCGGTGCCTTTCTCTCACTGCTGGGTAATTCGCGAACAGCCCCCGCAGGTCTTAGATTAAATGACCAGACACTGTGCAGCAGATCCGCTTAAATCAATAGTTAACTGCAGCCTAAATATAGTTTGAAGACATTCGAACTCAGGACGCAAGGGAGAAACGTGCTAGGAGGAAGGCATGCTTGGCAAATCCACAACGTGTGCAGCTCCCGCCTGGAAACCTATGTCCCCACTGTGGAAGGATGTGTGGATCCAGAATTGGCCTCCACAGTCACTTACGGACTCATTGTTAAAACCGTGTTTATGGAAGACAATCTTACTCAGCTACGAGTGATTGCCGAAGAAGAAGATACTTTGAGATGCTTAAAATGTCAAGGCTATTATGATAGAAGCTCAAATCATACACCCTTAAAAAAAACACCACCCTTCACTACAACCTGAACTTATTTCCAAGATGTGCTATTCATTAAATATATATCATCCCTGAAAGACTGATCAAACCTGAGTATGATCCAGGAAAAGTTACACTCCATTTCACACAGGCACACAGGTCCCTCGGTGACTGCAATTCTGGATGATTGGCAGCTGTACATAGGAACTAACAATTCCTCTGACTTGCATTGCAGACGATGCAGTGTGGAATGAAAAATGCTGTCTGTGGTGCAAATCAGGTGCGGATGCAAGCCATTATTTGCCCCCAAGCAAGTATCTATTGCTTTGCAGCTTAAAATTGTGTGTGCCTGCAATCCAATGTTCACTTGGGGAGCAAGCCCCACTGCACTTAAAAAGGCTTATGTCTGAATAAACATATATGGGGATGCTCTGTTAAGTCCCACTTGTACCAATGGGATTCGAACATTTCAGCTTCTCTGCTAACCAGCTACCCTTCTGCAATAAAATCTGCAACAAATGCAAAAATGAATTCATGATGATGGAAAAGCAATTATTTGCAGAATTGCTTTGCAAATTATGTGGCCTGGGAGATGCCGCAAATCCAGTGGTTCACTAAGTGTCTCCATCAAGACCCTCTTAGAAACACGGTACTGTTGGGGAAGAGTTAAAAGCTCTGCAATACAGCACCCGCTGCCAGGTAGCGTGTAGGCAATAGATGGACCAGTGGTCTGGCTTGAGATAAGACCATTTCCTATGCCTGTCAAGTTCATTGAAGACAAAAATCAGCACAGATCACCTAGATAGACCATGAGACAGGATGTAGCTCAGTGGCAGAACACCTGCTTTGTGTGCAGAAGGTCTCAGATTCAATCCCTGGCATCTCCAGGTAGGGTTCTGACTGATACCCTGAAGAGCCTCTGCCAGCCATTGTAGACAACACTGAGCAAGTTCTACTGATGGTCTGGGTATAAGACAGCTTCCTATGTCCCTATATACCATCTTTAACCTTTGCCATTTGGAGTATCCCAAAAGGAGCTGATGGAAGAGCATTTAGTACAGGCACAGCTGCTGCAACCAGTCCGTTTCAGAGCTGATCTAACCCCAGACTGTAGCTTTCTTTGCACTTTGCTGTGACCAGACAATGGCCTCTGCCCCATCTGCTTGACACATCTGCATTATAAGTTTATTTAAATAAGCTTGAAGCCAGTTCAAATGTCATGGCTTCCAGCCCACTGGATAGAAGCAACATTCTGAAAGAACTGACAATGACATGGCACAAAATTCCTGGCTGCTTTATAGAAGCACAACTCTCTCCAGCGGCTGTTAGTTAGGATGGCTTCATTACCTCCCAAATCAGAGAGATACTTTGACACTGATCTAGGGCTGAGCGATACCTGGTTTTCAACATCATGATATATCACGATGTCTGAAATAAGGATGGAACTATGTAGAAGTGAACAGCAGGGTTGGGTGATATCTGGTTTTCAGCTTTGTGATATATCACCAGCTAAACATTGCAATATACTAATATATGAAATAAGGATGGAATTATGAAGAGGAACTGGCTAGGTTCATGGTGTTTTTTTTTCTATATTGTGATTATTGCATAACACCCCCCCCCCCCCCGATTTGCAATAAATTGCCAGGTCAAAAATTATGAAACCAGTACAGTGGTACCTCAGGTTAAGAACTTAATTCGTTCTGGAGGTCTGTGGTTAACTGAAACTGTTCTTAACCTGAAGCACCACTTTAGCTAATGGGGGCCTCCTGCTGTCGCTGCGCCACCGCTGCACGATTTCTGTTCTCATCCTGAAGCAAAGTTCTTAACCCAAGGTACTATTTCTGGGTTAGTGGAGTCTGCAACCTGAAGCGTATGTAACCTGAAGCGTATGTAACCCAAGGTACCACTGTATCATGATATGGACCTCAAACTGGTTTTGGACGATATGTTGATATATCGCTCAGCCCTACTCCTACCAGTTGCTGGGAAACACAAAGGGGGAGGGTGTAGGATAGTTTCTGCCTCACACTTTAATCAGCCTTGGCTCCCCCCAAAGAATTCTGGGATCTGTAGTTTGTTATGGGTGCTGAGAGTTCTTCGCAGGCCTCCCATTCTGCTCACAGAGTTACAGTTCTCAGAGTTCCCTGGGAAGAGGAGTTGATTGTTAAACTACTCAATGCATATTAATCTTTTCCTGTATGCAAACTGCGGAAGTTTAAAAATGCAGGGCAAATGTTGGTTTACAACAGATGGCTTGTGAAATCCCCAGGGGTATTTCCCTGTCTTTTGAGAATAATCTCTTATCTGTCTTGTGAGTAGGACAGCAAAGAGCTAGATAATTAATCTTTAAAGGGATCAGGTCATAACCCTATAAAACGTTAGCATCATAGTTCAACACTTGGTCAGTTTTTGCAGACCAGTGGGTCAAACAGTTGAATTTGCTTCTTCCATATGCCTGTGTGGATCTCTTAGATGTGTAGTGCAACGATGCCTAATATTTGTACAGCGCTTTCCATTGCTTAGAATACTTCATGAGAATGTGAAAAGAGCTGGATCAGATCAAAGGCCAGTATCTAGGCCAGTATCCCATTTCTTACTGGACAGAAAGGTGCCTCTAGAAAACCCATAAGCAGGACCTGAAGGCAATAACCCTCTCCCAGTGTTGCTCATGAACCACGGGTATTCAGAAGTATACTCCTGGAGGTAGCCGCGCACAGCCATTTGATAGCCTTATTTGTCACGAATTTGTATAATGCCTGTTGAAAGCTGGGAGCAGTCTTGAGGAATTTGGGGCCAATGTGCCATCATTATGCTGCTGACACTCAGCTCTGTTTCTCCAGAACATCTGAGTTAGGAGAGCTGTGCAGTCCCTGTATCCGTGTTTGGATGCAGAGGTGAGAGGGATGGCGAAAAGGAAGCTGAGCTTGAATCCTGGCAAAACAAAGCCAGTAGCTCCCATGACCAGGAAACTGGTGCAATTGCCTAACCTGGATGGGATTCCCTCTCCCTGAAGGAGCAAGTCTGCAATCTGGGGTGGGTGATTCTGCATCCAGTTTCGTCATTGGAGGCCCAGGTAGCCTCAATGGTTAGAAGTGCAGATTGAAGCAGATGTTTTATGTCACTGTTTTTTCACTGGTAATTTTGCTGTGTTGTTCTTTTTGAGCTCTTAAAAAAATAACAATCTAACAGTATGTGCATTTTGTGAAATAATAAAAAATAAAGCCGCCTAAAGTCTGCAGCCATCAGTGTGTCTTGTGGCAGTGAGTTCCACAGGTTAACTACACATGATGTGAAGAAGTAGTTCCTTCCTTGCCTGTCCTGAATCTCCCAATCATCAAGAAGTGAAGGAAAACATCTCTATAGCCACTATGCCCAATTTTATAGACCTAGGAGCATAGGAAGCTGCCTTGGACCAAGTCAGATCTTAGCTGATCTATCACAGTATTGTCGACAGTGACTTACAGCTGCTGTCCATGGTTTAAGACAGGAGTCTGCAGAAGTACAGAGACATTTTTTTATTATTATTGGGGGAAGGAAAAACTTCAAAAACAGCCATATGAAGACAGAGTGTGCTTTGTAGCTGCTACAGAATGCCAACTGTTTGGGGTGGAGTAGGGGATGTAAAACCAGTTGAGGGGGGAGGTGGAATGGAGTATCATTTCAGCAGGGCATGGCTGGCTGGGTGGCTGGAAGATCTCTGCCCTGCCTCTCTTCCTTAATGATGATGATGATGATGATAACAACAACAACAACAACAACAACAACAACAACAACAACAACTTTTATTTATATCCCGCCCTCCCCAGCCAAAGCCGGGCTCAGGGCGGCTAACAACAATAAAATAGTACAACATTTTAAAATCATTTCATTATAAAATTAATTCAAATCAAATTGATGGCAACCATTGGGCTAGAGTTCTGTGAAGATTGCCAAAGGAGGAGTCAGATGTGACCTGACCAAAGGCCTGGTGGAACAGCTCTGTCTTGCAGGCCCTGCAGAAAGATGTCAAGTCCCGCAGGGCCCTAGTCTCTTGTGACAGAGCGTTCCACCAGATCGGAGCCATTCCTTCATGGAATTCAGTGCGGCCTCAGGTTTCCAGCCAGTCTCCCTCGTACCTCCGCGTGTTCAGCAAGGGCTGGTGCATTGCATGCCTCCCAACCATCATTCTCTCCCTACTAAGCTTTGTCCTTTTGAAGTCAGAACTGGTGCCGGACTGAATGGTGACATCCTTTCCTTGCCCAGAGCCATATTCGCAAGATACAGATTCTGCTGTTCTGCTAAAGTGCTCCACTTCTCCGATGACAGCAATTTGCCTCCCTGTTGGTAACAGCCCAGCAATGCAAAAATAACGGTTGCTAAGGACTGTTGTGACAAATAACCCCCCGTTTCACTGACACCCCGGCTTTTACCAATGCAAAACCCAACAGGAGCTGTTTAATATTGATGCACACAGTTGCTTTGTTCCTGCCTTGCTCGCAGGAGCGCAGTGGTACATACAGGCATTGTGCACTTGCCACAAGACGCACTCCTTAAATTAAAAACCTATAATCAATTCATCTTCCTCCTAATACAATGCTGTCAGAGATTTGTACCGGGGGGGGGGGGGGAACAACAGCAACAACACAAACCGGGTCCTTTCAAAATACTCACAATTGCTGTGCTTTTCTTCTCTACTTCCAGACCTTTTTGGCCCTTGTTAATAAAAATGTTGGCTTTGCTTCACAGAAAAGAAAGAAGGAAAAAGACTCCAGCATGGAACCACCTCCAGTGTCAGAGACATCATGCCTCTGTATGTTTGTGGCTGAGAATCGCAGGTGAGCAGGGTGCTCTTGTCCTGCAGGCTTCCCACAGGCATCTGATTGGCTACTTTGAGAAGAGGATGGTGGACTAGACATTGGCCTGATCCAGCAGGCTCTTCTTATATTCTTAACTAAGATGAAAGGAAGGACTTCTTTACATAGCACATAGTTAGACTATGGAACTCGCTCCCACAGGAGGCAGAGATGGCCACCAACTTGGATGGATTTAAAAGAGGAATGGACCAATTCATGGAGGAGAGGATTATCAATGGCTACTAGCCACAATGCTCTGCCTCCACAGTTGGAGGCAGCAATGCTTTTGAATACCAGTTGCTGGGAACCACAGAAGGAGAGAGGGCTCTTGAGTTCGAATCCTGCTTGCTGTTTTTTCACAGGCAGCTGTTCGGCCACTGTGAGAACAGGATGCTGGACTAGATGGTCTGATCCAGCAGGCTCTTTTTATGTTCTTATGGTTTGATCTTTACCTGGGAGTAAGTCCCATTGAACTCAAGGGGGCTTATGCCTGGGAAGCATATACAGTGGTACCTCGGGTTACAGATGCTTCAGGTTACAGACTCCGCTAACCCAGAAATATTACCTCGGGTTAAGAACTTTGCTTCAGGTTGAGAACAGAAATTGTGCTCTGGCGGCGCTGCGGCAGCTGGAGGCCCCATTAGCTAAAGTGGTGCTTCAGGTTAAGAACAGTTTCAGGTTAAGAACAGACCTCCAAAATGAATTAAGTTCTTAACCTGAGGTACCACTGTATACAACTGCCCTGTTAAGCACCTATTTACTGTTGCAGTTCCTGCTACCGCAGCTGTATTATGAAAGGAGCTGTCCAGCAGATCAGCAAGAAGGTTTTCAAAAAACCAGAGGACTTGGGCAGCTAAGGCAAGGATGAGAAACCTGTGGCCCTCCAAACATTGTTGGGCTCCAACTCCCATCAACTTCAGCCAGAGAGATCAAATGTTGGGAATCCAAACCATATCTTAAGGGTCACAGGGTTCTCTACCCCTGAGCTAAGCAGTAAAGCAGAACTTGGAAATGGGAAAGAAGGGGTGTTGCATTAGCAGTAGCTAAGCATCACCTGAACATTTTTTTTAGTTGCCCCACCGCTTTCTAGAGCATCAGCATAGCCATGATACAGAGCATGATTCTGAAGTCATCTTCCCACATAGAACTCAATATTGGAGACCTTGTGTTGCCAGATAGTCATTGAACTTCCTAGTTTGGGTATCCACTTGGCCTCAGTGCTGCTCCTGTTGTCCCAGGGATTTTGGGCGGTGAGAGCAGTGAGGGTATCCTAAATTGGCAGCTTTCTTGAGTGCAGCACATTTCAAGGTAGTGGCCTTAGAGGCGGATGCTGTTGTCCACTGTCATTAGCCCATGGACAATTATGATCCTGGAGCTTCAGATTCCAAGCTGCTAACATACTATCAGTGACTACTATAGGTATATGAAAGTGACTGCGCTAGCAAAACTTTTGTTTTTTTGGGTAGACTCACAGCATTGATGGATGTATTTACAAGTAAATCTTGGGTTTGTGAACTCTCAGTGGGAACAGTCTTTCTCTTTTCTCAGACATTTCACAGTTAATGACTATATTGGTTGCCTCTTCCAATTTTATTTTTTTAAAGGAGAGAAGTTTTTACAGGGTGCCTCTCCCATCTACTCCACATAATTATATATCTGTAAGTCATCCCACACACATCTGGATTAGAGGAAAGACCTGCCCCATCAGATAATGACAAACCCTAAAGGCGTAAATGTTATTCTATTACTGCAAACACCCCACAAAAGGAGCCTTATAACTTAATTTGTTTCTATTGTAAACTGTTAGGAGACCCCCTATGCCATGTACAGAACTACTCTTTGATTGCTGTACAGATTGCTATAGCAATCTGTGATAGGAATAGGAGTCTCCTAACAATTCTCAGAACCCATAACAAACTACAGTTCCCTGGATTCTTTGGGAGATGCCATGGCTGTTTAAAGTGACATATTACTGCTTTAAATGTAGGCCATTCTCAAGGTAGGGACGCGGGTGGCACTGTGGGTTAAACCACAGAGCCTAGGACTTGCGGATCAGAAGGTCGGTGGTTCGAATCCCCAAGATGGGGTGAGCTCCCGTTGCTCAGTCCCTGCTCCTGCCAACCTAGCAGTTTGAAAGCATGTCAAAGTGCAAGTAGATAAATAGGTGGGAAGGTAAATGGCGTTTCTGTGCGCTGCTCTGGTTCGCCAGAAGCGGCTTAGTCATGCTGGCCACATGACCCGGAAGCTGTACGCCGGCTCCCTCGGCCAATAAAGCGAGATGAGCACCGCAGCCCCAGAGTCGGCCACGACTGGACCTAATGGTCAGGGGTCCCTTTACCTTTACCTTATTCTCAAGGTGCCTCTGTGGAAATAGGCAGGAAGAATTCAAGTAAGACTCTGGCTACCTCCAGGCTTTTGCAAGGGGGAAGTCAAGTGCAGATTAGAAATCTAGGTTTGGATAATTAAAGTGGATCTGCTGCCCTGATGCAACAAATACATGGTTTTTTTTGGTTTGTTTTTGTTTTTAAATGGTACCTTTGTGATTAGGAAAATGAACTGAAAAGGATGGATGAATGGATCACCATACAAACAAATCTTGATGAATTCACGACGAATGCTCATTATCGTATAATCTTTCCCAGGGCCAGATTAAAACCTTTAGAGGCCCTAAACACTGAAAAGATAATGGTGCCCCTCCATACATAATTCTAAATAAAAACAACATGAAATTATAAAATGGAAAGTTTTTTTTTTAAATGTGACAAATCTACTATTCATGCTGAAATTAAAACAGCTTCTTTCTAGTTTTCTGATGGCAAAATTCTTGAAAAGTTCATTGAAGCTGACTCAACAAAGCAGGCCCGCTTCCAGACACAGTGGAGAAAGTGAATCAAATCTGTCCTTACATATTGTTGTTATCTGAGGATTTTTTCATTTCAGCCAAGAAAAAGAGTGATCTGCGGAGCATTTAGTAATAATCAACATTAGAAGAATGATGACTACTTTGATGATTTGTTTAAAAAAACAAATGTCAAATTCTTTTTCTTTTTTAATTAAAAAAATTCCTCAATTCTAGTTGGGTGTTCCTGTTTTGCTGGTGGCTTAAACACATGCTTAGCCTACCTATTCGGTAATCCAGCACTGACCTCTGCACAAACAAATCAGGACTGAAACAGACTGAATCAGGACTGAAAAGACTGAATAGAGTCTAACCTCTCTGTAAGCTTGGAGGAGCCCTAAACTACAACCTTTGCAGGTTTCATGTAGCACCCAGGGTTGCTGGAAAGATGAAACATACAAAGGCCAATCCCCTATTTTGGGAAAGATAAAATCCAGCTCTCATGCAGATCCACCTCCATCTTTAAGAGGCAGATATTCTGTGTACCTGTGAATAATCTCCTGTGTACCTTTGGGGACTCCTCTTTTTGCATTCCTGTCTGTACATCAGCCATCTGAGAACAATGTTCCAGGCATGCATCAGATGAAATGAGCTCTAATCTAGGAAAACAGCCACCACAATAAATCTACTAGTCCTTAAGGTGCTTGGAGACTCTTTTTTATTTTTTTTAAAAGAGTGTGTGTTCATAGCAGGGACTCCACATTCTAGGCATGTCTGAACCCTCATTTTAAGAATTAAGCACTGCCACATATAGCTCTCAACCATCACAAACCTTCCTAATGAGGAAGTTCAACCACCTATCTGTTTCCTCTGGTGGACTCTAAGGACATTTTTCATACTCTAGGAATTAATCAACATCCCATTACAAAGAAACAACAACCCCTTGTTCCCTCGCTTGACCTCACCACAATTCAAGGGAGTCCTTAATAAGCCTGGCTTTAAAAAACCTCTAGTGATGCATGTTTAATAAGAAGTTCCTTTTGCATGTTTCTTGCCTAGTGACATTTAAGAACCCTATCTTGATTTCAATTATGGCAAATATCCTTTGTGGTATTTAATATACCTAGGATAAGTAGACTAGCTGCTGGACCCAGATCTCTTCTACATCAGGAAACAATGCTGTAGCCCTTAGTTGTTAAAATGGGCAAACAGTGCACACCCTCCAATATTTCTCTGATGAAAAGAAGAATGTCCTATTTCATCATCATCATCATCATCATCATATTTATACCCCACCTATCTGACTGGGCTGCCCCAGTCACTCTGGATGGCTCCCAACATATATAAAACATAATAAAACATTAAACGTCAAAAAACTTCCCTATACAAGGCTGCCTTCAGATGTCTTCTAAAGGCTGTATAGTTACTTAACTCCTTAGTTTGGGAGTTGCATAACTCTATTCCCACCAGCATTTCTCCAATGAAAATAGGGACATCCTAAGGAAAAGTGGGATATTCCAGGATCAAATCAGACACAGGGACGGCTTCTGTAAATCCAGAACTGTCCCTGGAAAATAGGGACACCTGGAGGGTCTGTTAGTGAAGTGGCAGTATGTACCAGGGGTAGCCAATGTGGTATTTCTCTCAGATACTGCTGGACTACAACTCCCATCATCCTTGACCATTTGTCATGTTGGCTGGGACTGATGGGAATTGGAGTCTAGCAACCACACAGGTGCCTCCTATTATAGGAAGCTGCATAGGAAGCTGCCTTATATTGAGCCAGACCATTGGCTCGTCTAGTTCAGTACTGTTGGACTACAACACTAATCATCCCTGATCATTCACATGCTGGTTCAGCCTGATAGTAGCTGTAGGGCATCAGGTTCCACATCCAAAGTCTATTGACTAGGATAATTGGGGAAGGACAATATTAGCAACATGGGAAGTTGCCTTACACCAGGCCCAAATATTTTCCCCGGCCATCTCACAGCCCTAGCCATATCAATAATTATAATGTATTATCAATTTCAATCCCATGCTTTGTTACCCTTAGGATGGTATACACAGCTATTAACAGTTGTCCTGTGAGCTTCCATAACAATATTTCCCTCTAATTCTTGTGTTGCTTTGCAAATTTTGTATTTTGTAAAGGTCTTTGGCTATGCACAATTAACTTGAGTGACTAGAGCCCACTGTTATCTGCTTTGAATGGCAGCAGCTCGTTAAGAGTCTCAAGTTCCCATCACTTTCTACCTGATCCTTTTAAGACTGGCGATGTCAGAGATAGGGATGGAGAAGAAATTCAGTACACATGCAAAGCCAAATCACACTCTCAGTATGCAAACTGAAACACAGCAGTGCTTTGAAACTGGCATTTATCCAAATTTTGCAATTCAGTTGTCCAACCAATGTTCAGAAAAAACACATATTATGGGAAAGTGTGCGTACCGATTGAAGATATTAGTGAAAATAACATGCAAGAGAACATTGTATTAGGAACAACGGCTTGAAAAGATGTGTTCATGAGTCCAAACTGCATCTAAAAATGTATTTACTAGGAGACATTCTCACTAAAATGCTGATGGATTTTAATGAGGATTTTATAAAAGAAAAACCTTCCGATCGCTGCAAAAAGACGGAGATCTGAATTTCAGATTGGAAAAAGGAGAAGCAGAGTCAACCACAATTGTCAGGTCCTTCCATCCCAAAATAAACTGGGATGCATATATATATATATATATATGTGTGTGTGTATATATATATATATATATATATATATATATATATATGAGAAAAACATTATCTTAGGCAAATGCATTAAAACATTTAATGAGTTTAGTTTTGAGCATCTATTTCTTGTACAGCTGCTTTTAAACACATTATTCACAGAGCGTCTGCCAAAAACACACATTTTATTAACCTCAGGATCAGAAAGGTTAAATCAAACAAATGCAGAGGTGCTATTAATGCTTCAGTAATTAGGCAAGGATACAAAATGTACCGCAAACATCTGCTAGTACATCACAAAACTGAAGACCTCCTGGAAACTCCCTTCACCCTCCAATACAGAGACTTCCACTAGGCACAGAGGCCTAGTGAAAAAGAAATGCCCCCCCCGGCTCCTGCAGCTATGTAATGATGGTGCCAGGTGAGCCTCCCTGGGGGCAGCAGTCCACAAACATGTCCATGATGCAATAATAGTGCATTCGTGGTGCACTTATAATGAACCATCCACTCCTCATTCCACCTTTTCCAGAGGCCAAAACTTGATGTACCCCTTTGCGCTGCCTTCCCAGGCTAAGCAAGGCACTGGGCTTTGGAAAGGAGGCACAAGGCTCTGGCAGGGTCCTAAAGCCCTCCCACCCCCTTCCCAAAGCTGGGGAAGCATTAACTAGGCTTTGGGAAGGAGGTTGGAGGGCTCTAGGACCCTGTCAGAGCCCTCATGCCTCCTTCCCAAAGCCCAGTGGGGTGGGGTGTCAAATGTTGCTGAGGGCCACCAGAAAAGGTCTCAAGGGCCACCTGTGGACTGCCCTGGGATAGACTGTTGACGGGGACAGACCTGACATCAGCACATAAATCCGGTGCTTAAGAGCTTGCACCAGCACTCTCCCATTGTTTGCTTATGTGCTTCTTCCATTCACATGCCTTCGTTTTACCATAACAGAACTCAGGGAAGGCGCCATGTTTTTCCTGGCCCAGGAGTCCTCAGAGCCTCAGAAGGCCTCTTCTTTGCAAAGAACCTCCTGGAAGAGGCTTTGCTCTTAGAGTTTAGTTACCCCTCTGCATCACTGGATACTCCTCTGTTTTAGAGTCCCGGCCGGGGGAAATGGGGGGATATAAATAAACAAATAATTTTCCTGTCAGCTCTTTCCCCTCCCTCCTTCATTCCCTCCCTCCCTCTGGCCTCCCGCTTTTTACTCTTTCACTTTTGCTCTTTCCCTCCTGCACTTTTCCCTTTGAGGTATTGCTTCGCTGTCTGTCTCTTCTGCCTCCTCCTCCACCACCTCCCCTCACCTGCCTCTCTTTCCTTGTCCTCTCAGTGTCACTCCTCTTTCAATCCTGTTTTCCCCTCCTTCCCCTCCTGCTTCATGCTGAGGACTGAAACTGACTCTTCCTGGATGTTGCCTTTTCATATTGCTCTGGAACACTTTCAGCACCCTCCTGATGCCTGTTGGGATCCCCTCATAATAGGACTTCCCTAGAAGATGCCCCATGAAGGCACTGACCAGACCCAGACCTGCAAAGCTGTGCCTTCAGAACACATTCTGGGACTGGCTCCACCCATCATACACCTTCTCACTTTGCACTGAATTCTCTTGTGATCTAAGATTGCCTCTCCGTTAACTGGCTGCAACATTTCCTGCCCAATCATCAGTGCAGGAGGCTTCAAATGGTTTGTTAACACAGTGTTCCCTGTTCACGAACATGTCCAACCACCAGAGATATAGAGCAGATAGAAAAGATAAGGCCAGATTATCAGGGGCAGGGGATCTTTGCCCTAACAGACATATCTGACATGCTCTTTTAGCTGCAAATGTTTATGCCCATCTGTTAGCGTGGCTTTGTGCCCATTACAATCTGATCTGGCTGTTTCATTAGGGCATATGCACTTCACAACCCACAGGCGGTCTACGCAAGGCTGTGCAGGAAGCTTGATTTTTCTCTTTGATAGTCGGAAGGCTCAGGCCCCATCTGCACTGTAAATTCAAAGCGGTATCATACTGCCTCTCCCCATATGAACCAACCCAGACCGTGCCATCGTCATCTGAGGCCATTCTTCATGTGCCTCCTTCGCAAGAGTTTTGGGGTTTGGCAACTCGGGAACGGGCCTTTTCTGTGGTGGCTCCCTGCTTGTGGAATGCTCTCCCCAGGGAGGCTCACCTGGTGCCTTCGTTACATCTCTTTAGGCAGCGGATAAAAACATTCCTCTTCTCCCAGGCCTTGGACTAAACCAACCATCTATGGCATTTTAAATGGTGGGGTTTTGTTCACTCTTTGTGTTTGTTATTATGTTATGCATTTTCATGTTTTTATATTGTAAACCACCCTGAGATCCTCAGGATGAAGGGTGGTATAGACATCTTAAAAATAAAAGCAGTAACGGCTTCCTCCCAAATAATCATGGGAGCTGTGGTTTGTTAAGGGTGCTGAAGGTCGGTAGGCGCAGTGGTGGCTAGTAACAATTTACTTGGGAGGGATGCAATTTTTTCATCACAAGAGGTTCTGCCCAACACTTATTTAGAAAAGTATGCCATTACACACAAAGAGAGTGCCCTTGTCTCCTCGTCTCTACCCCTCTATCAGTTAATGTCTACACTTCTATGGACAGGGAAAGAGCTTCCATGTAAGAGGACCCAAGTATGATTTTCATACAAGATTTTCATACAAGATTTACTCCATTCCTCTTATTTAAAAAATAAGCCATACCACACAATGTAATTTTCTGAATTAATGCATTGTTTACACCTGCTCATCCCTTGTGCAAAAACTAAACACAAAATAACCTTTTAAAAAGTGAAGAAAAGTTGCTTCCAGTTGCGTGCAGGAATGTAGATTCCTGCCTCTGTCTCTCAGCCACTGCTTACCCATGGTGAGCATAGAGAACATGGGCTGTATCCAACTAACCTTTACTCAGAGTATACCTATTAAAATTAAAGGTCATAAGTTTGTTTTGTTCATTACTTGCAATAGATCTCTTCAGAGCATGGCTGACACTGGATACATGCTTTCATCTCCTAAAGGCACCTCTAGATGGAACAGTTTTCAACCATAAATTTCCATATTTGATGCATGCAAGCTGGACTAAATACCAGCTCTGACTCTAGCAGGATGAGTGCAGGCAGCACAGACCAAAAGAGGCATCAACTCAGTTTTACTCAAAAGTAGACCCATTAAAATACATGGACAACATGGAATTGAGAGTCAAACGACTGGGTGAACAGGAATGTCTTTGCCTGGCACCTAAAAGTTGTTAATGATGGCCTTTACCAAGCGCAACCAAGCACATTTCTCTTTGAAGAGCATTCCACAATTGGGGAGTCACCACTGAAAAGGTCTGTTCTCATATTACTACCCTCTGCAGCTCCCTTGGAGGGGGCAAATGGAGAAGGTGCTCAGATGATGAATGCAGGATCTAGGTGGGTTCATGCAGGGAAAGGTGGTCCCTAACTTACTGGGGCCCTGAGCGACATGAGGCTTTATAGGTCAAAACTAGCACTAGGAATTGACCATCACTATTTCCAACACTTAAGCAAAATGCTTAAGGGAAGCTCCCCTCTAAAGCATGAAGTTAACAACCTTCATGGAGTCCGCTTCCCCAGTGGGTGATTTTCCTCCTTCCTTCCTGGAAGGAGAGGTTTTTCTCATTGTATCAAGCAGACACAGTTACTCTACTTCTAGGATCTATGCCACATTGATAGGAACCAGCGGGCAAAAAAGTACCACATACTCCTTCACAGCTCTCTCTGGAGTCAGCTCATCTATCATAAACAGCAACATGAACCAGTCTTGATACAGACAGAAATGACCTCTTGCTCTACATATTTGTGTGTAGAGGGGAAATGGTGGCCGAGGCATGAATAAAGCCCAGCAAAAATTTGTTGTGACAGTTTATGACAACATACAGCTGTAACCCTCTGAGCATAGCATGCCAGATCTGTCTCTGTTAAACATAGTGTGACCAGTACTGAACTCTGCTAAGCACTGAAATTAATGCAGTAAGAAATGTGATGTTGACTTAGAATGTACTCTCTTTCATCTTGCTGGAAGTTTTTTTTCTGGGATGTTTGTTTTGGACGTCTAGTACTCTTAACCGGGGGGGGGGGGGCAGCATGGTGCCATCCATATATTATTGGACTCCCATCAGCCCCAGTAAACATGGCCAATGGTCAGAGATGATGGGAGTTGTAGTCCAACAACATCTGGGGGACACTCTGCTCTACACTATACATCATATTATCGTTCAGAGTTTAAAAACATAACAAAATCATTTCTGGAGCAGGCCAGTAGTCCATTTCGCCCAACATCCACAATGGATGTTTATGGAAAGCACACAAGCAGGACCTGAGTGCAACAACACTTTTCTCTCCAAAGTGGAGAAAAGTGTTGGAAAATGGAGGCAGTGTTCTATTGTTCTAATGTCACAACCTTCCAATGTCCAAGAATTTCTTACAACAGCACTTTTTAGGAAAGTTCAGCATTATTGTTACCACTTCACAGATGAAACCAAGGCTTGAAAAGGAATGGCTATGAGCGTTCATAATGGAGGATTTTCTAGTTCAGAGCACACATACTTTTACCCTCCAAAATGCTCTTCTATCAGCTCCAGTTGGCATGACCTGTGGTCGGGGAAAAGGCTGTAACTCAGGGGCAGAGCATCATCAGGTCAGTGACCCACCTATTCCAACATCCTGTTCTCACTTGAGCTGGTGCCAGTGGGAGACCAGCAAGCAGGATTCAAGCACAAGAGCACCCTCCCATCCCGTGGTTTTCAGCAATCAGTATTCAGAAGCCTTGCTGCCTCCAACTGTGGAAGCAGCGCATACCAACCATGGCAAGTAGCCATCAATAGTTTTCTCCTCCTCCATGAATTTGACTAATCCTCTCTGAAAGCCATCTAAGTTGGTGGCTATCACTGCCTCCCGTGGGAGAGAATTCCATAGTTTAACCATGTGCTGTGTGAAGATGCTTCCTTTTATCTTTTCTGAATTCCAATGTTCAACTTCATTGGACAGAAGTCCATGCATTCTAGCGTCATGAGTGGAGAGGGGACTTTTCTTCATCCCCTTTCTCTATTTTCTCTCATTTTATAAACTTCTGTCATGCTCCTCTAAACTAAAAAGTCCCAAAATGCATGCCACCCCCTTGAGGGGTCAATGGTCTGACTCATAAGGATAAGGAAGCTTCCTATGTTCTAGGTATTATAGGAGCTGTAGTTCAACAACATCTGGAGACCACCAGGTTGAGGAAGAATATGCTCTCATGCGGCAGACCAATAAACAAGGGATAGGTGATAGTTTGATCTTCAGAAGCACATATATCTTCTCTTTTGTTGATATGTACAGAGCTTGTTTACTATCTGCTCTAAGCACCCACTTCCCCATGCCTGCTACCTTTCCCACAAGCAAACAGTCTTGTGGAATTGCTATCAAATTCTTACATTCTCAAATACACCTGGAAATAAGCTTCTTTGAAATCAACAGGCCCTGCTGCCAAGGGAGTCAGTTCCAGCACGGGTGTCGCAACAAAACAAAACATCACAGAAAGAGTCAAGGCGGCCTCAGCAAGATCCCTATTACAAACATTTTCCCAGTGCTAATTTTTGCAGCGGGACAGAACTCTTTAAAACTGTCACCGAAGGCTTGTGTGAGAAAACATTTTTGCTTCCGCCAAATGGCAATTGACAATAGTGTACTTTACAGGACTGAAAACAATTCACATAAATTATCCCTATAATCATTATAATAACATTGTAAGATAGTATAAACCTATTATCCCCATCATGTAGACTGAATGGCACCCAGCGAGGCAAAAATTGCATGGAGCCCACATTTTCAGTGGTGTATTATAACCACTTTCTGGTACTGAGCAGTAAAAAAATAGTTCCTATGAAAAGGTGTGAGCTTTTCAACTGCACAATTCAGAGCACGAATCATTCTGAGAATCATTAAGAGCTATTTGACAGTGGAACGGACTCCCTCAGAAGGTGGTGGACTCTTCTTCATTGGGTTTTTTTAGAAAGAGATTTGATGGCCATCCATCAGGGGTTCTTTAGCTATTATTCCTGCATTGCAGGGAGGTGGACTAGATTACCCTTGGGGCCCCTTCCAACTCTACTTTTCTACAATTCTGTGAGAAGTTGCTCATAAATATATCTGAACTCTTACAAAAATATTAAATGGTGGTGGTGTGGTGGGGGAATTAAATAAAAAAACAAACCAGAGAATACTAAATAAGCCTGAGCAAAAATGAATGTGTTCGGGAAATGACAATTTTCTATTTGTTAAGTTATTTTCTTCCTACATGAGACTCAATTCTCAGAAATGTTACACAAACCAAGAAATGTTGCAGATCTAAGTAGTAAAGAGTTAATCTATATCTATCTATCTATCTATCTATCTATCTATCTATCTATTTCCTCCCGCTGTTGGAGGGTGATTAAATTCATCTGAGCCACGAAAATGAGATTTTAAAAACTCAGAAAAAATTATTAAGTCCCAAAAGAAGAATTCTCATTCTGTGTGTACATTTTGTTATCTTTTCGCTCATGTAAAACTTCTGACAATTTAGCCCGACATAGTCGGGAAATATTTTCTCAAGGAAGAAGAGGTGAACAAGGATTTGGCGTTTCTCCTCCAAACACGCCATATGCTTTTGTTAAAAGGATTAGAAGGAACGAGCTGGGAAAGGAGACCCAAAGCGGACTCCAAACTGGCACTCGGCTTCTCCCAAGCAGAAAAGGGAGCCCAATATTTCCATTTCCCGGGAGATGCTGCTACATACACCCAGCCGTGCCCCTCCGGCTCCCTTTTTGGCAAGGCCTCGACATGGTCCACATTCGCCGGCTGCCAGATACGGTCTTCCAGCCGCGCCGCGGGAAGATCCCTGCGCTTCTCGCCGCGCCCCGTCGGGTGTCGCTGCGCCTCCACCTACCTGATCCGTGCTGCTGGCGAAGGATGGTGGCTTTGCCCGGCGGAGGCGAGGCCGACGACGCTGCTGCTGCTGCCGCCGCCGCCACGATAGTCGTGGTGCTGGAGTTGGAGGAGGAAGAGGACGACGACGAGGAAGCCGCGGCGGGGATGGAGGCTGCTGACGAGGAGGAGGAAGAGGAGGCTGCTGCCTCGCCCTGCGCCGGCAGGAGACGCTTGTCCCCCAGGCGCGGCTCGGCCGTGGCTCGCCCGGGCGGGCTACTCCTGCGCGGGCCGCTGCTCTGGATGTGCGAGACCGCCTCGGCCGCCTGCACGTCGGGCGGGGAGAAGCGCGCCAGGACGCGCAGCTGCGCCTGGGCCTTGTGCTCCTGAGTGTCCTCGTCGCCGTAGTCCGACACGCGGCACTCGTACACGCCCTCGTCCTGTCGCCGCACACCGGAGAGCCGCAGCCGGTGGGAGATGTCGTTGCCCTGGACGCGCACCGTCTGCAAAGAGAGCGAGAGAGAGCGAGAGAGAGAGAGAGAGACGCCTTAGCCGTCCAGCAGGACTGGTTTCCCGGGATGAGGAAGGAGCTTGGGGTCTGTTCCAGCGCACAGCTCGAAAAGGACCCGCGATGTATATAAGGCGCTTGCCTCCCACTTGTCCGCCCCCTCCACTTGCTGGACTCCTGCCACGAACATATTTTTCTTTTGGAGATCTGAACATATGGGAGACAACTCGCCCCTCTAGAAATATCCTATATGCCTTCTGTATCCCCCCTCATTCCCCACCCCGTGCCACCACTGTACAGTCAAGATCGAAGCTGCAAACTTTCCTGGGTGTAAAGTTTGTAAGGAGGTGTGCAAAGGATTGCCCTGTTAGGTGCAAACAAGCAACGCTGTATAATTTTAATAAAATACCCTCCTCGTCATAGAGGTGTGCTCACGTGAACCCTCAATCCCTTGCCACCCACAGCTTACGGCTATATGGCGAACAAGCAACTGTGGGCACACACCAGACCTTCTCTTATGCAATGAGCTCACATACTAGATTTCCAGCTATGACTGATTTACATGCACACTATGTTTCTAAATACACGTATGCAGAACTGCCTAGAGCTTGTAGCCACTGGGAGTTTGGGGAAACTATCCCTCCCTGGTATTTCAACCTCCCCCCGCCAAAATAATTCCTAAGTAAGTGTGTGTATGTTTGCAGCCTTAATACTGCAATTCTGACACATATTTTTTATTTATTAGATTTATATACTGCCCTTCATCAAAAGATCTCAGGGTGGTCCACAAGGTAAAATCAGGAACAAAGTCCCTCCTGCACAAAGAAGCTATCTTCAGTAACTACAGATGGGCTTTGTATTGTACAACATCGAGTGCCATAGTGTTTACATGTTTCATGTTTACATAGTGTCTGCCAGTGGTACACCAGGTGGCTGTGCAGGATGTGGTCAATATGCATGCTGAAGATAAACCAGTCTCTGGTCACACTGTATGGACAAACACACACTTGAAGCTGCTTTGCACATAGGAGGTACGGTACCAGCGGGGAATTAATCTGAACCCGAGTCTGATTATGTGCATACATGTTTTTCTTGCATGTGCAAGAAGTCTCAAAGCTGCCCATGTTTCTCAGGAAAATGCCAGAAACAAACCATGTGATTACTTTTAGTTGGTTGGCTATTATAAAATTGTATATCGCAAATGATGATCTGCAGGGGAAGGGCAGGTATAGAGCACCTTGTATATCTAGCCCAGCATTGCCTAGTCTAGCAGGCAGTGGCCATTCAGGGTCTAAGGCAGAAGTCATTCCTTTCACCTTTCCCCACAATCCTTTTTTAAAAAAACCTCAATAACTGGAGATGCCAGGGGATTGAACTTGAGATCTTCTGTATGCAAAGCAGCTGTTCTACCACTGAGCTATGATACCTCCCATGAAATGCAAGTGTCTCATGAAATCATCATCAGCATCACCAGCTCCTCCTCTATTTTGAACCCTTCCCATCTCAATGATCTGTCAGAATGGCCAGTGGAGGGCTGGAAGCAATTTCCTATCCATGGGCTACAGCTACCACTGTCCCTGCCAACTGGCAAGAGCAGATGGGAAATGGAGCCCAGCAACATCTGGAGGTCTACAGCTCCCTTGTCCCTTCTGTAGAAAAAACACACACAATAGTTTGCTCTGAAATCCAGGTTTCTCATCTGCATTCTGAAATAAATATCTGCTTCATCTCCTCCTATTCCTCTGTTTTTGAAACGAGATGTATGTTTTCGGGACCCACTGTATTTTTTGTGATTGCATCCCCCCCCCATAACTGCAATACCACCACCAATAAGTTATTGTGAAAAGCACAATAAAACTCTGTAAATCTGGCTTCAAGCACATTGGCTGTAAGCAGAAAAAAAGTCTACCTCCAACTCCCTGGAGACAAAATATTGAAACTGGCCACAAAAGCACTCTAGTTGATTCTAATGCCCCATTAAGATATGTAGGGAAGAAGTTGAAGGTAATCAGATTACAAGCAAAAGGGTGCTTTGTAGGTTAAACCAGAGCTCAGTTTGGAGCCTCAGCTAACCAGTCCTCGAACCTAGAAATAGAGAATTTACATTGTAATGCATTAAATGAGAGTGTCCCTGAGCATGTGCAGAGCATCTTTCGTCACAGGTCCTCACACCTGAGGGATCATGGATCTGGACTTGCAGGGGACATGAGGCAGCTCCTCAAGGAACTTAAATCCTGCCCCTCCCTTTGTCAAAAATAGACAATGTATGGACAGCATGCCTGACACAGTGTTAGAGGGACAACTCCTTGCAAAGACGCTCTGTGGAATTAAACAACAACAAAAAAGCCTTTTGATGCTGCTCTTTCCCTCTGTCTTAAAAATTCAATTTGTCTTCCTCCCCAAAATCAAATATTCCACTGCTGCAAGTCATTGCTTTTGGCCATTTCTATCCGCCCCCTGCACCAAGGAATACTTCCAAGCATGGGGTCACTCATCCGAAATCAAATGCTGGCCACTAATTCCATCTCCTCCTTCCCTTAATTAAATGCATTTCTCCGTTGCAGTCAACAGCTAGCCACTAATCCTCCTTGCTCCCCCCTCTGCTTCCAGCAATAGTGCATTTAAAATGTATCATCTGTCCAAAAGCAACCTCACTGTGCTGGCTCTCTCTAATCCTGCCCTCGTACTCTTGCAGAAACAAGCGCAGCCAACAGCATCCAGCCATTCATGCTTCATCTCTGATTCCCCAAAACAAATGCAGCCCTTCATACCCCTCACCTGATAATAATAACAACGGAAAACAGCTTCTGCATTTAATCCTCTGCAAAGCACACAAAATCCTGGTCAGAGAAAGGGGAGAGAGAAAAAAGATGCACCAGGTCCCTCAAAGTTGAACGCAGCCATGTTGCCATGAGTGAGTCCAAATCATCTTCCAAAAATAGATGCATTGGGACTAATATATTTTTCCCTTTCCCTCCCGTTTCCCCGTCTGAAATGCAGCCCGCAACATCTGCCTCTGAAATTCTGTCTCCAAACACTTTATCAATTTCCCTCTCCTCTGATCTTGTCCATATTTAGACATGCATGTTCTCTCTCTCTCACACACACTCCTATTGTTCTGTTTTCTATATTTTAATTATTCCTTTTTTGTCACCAGAAATAATAGTAGGATTGCCAACATGCCTGTTATCATCAGGGATGCCTGAGCTTGACCCTTATTTAAATAAAGCTCAGCTCCAAAGTGCTTCATCAAAGAAACCCCAAAGATTCTGTTTCCTATTGATCTACGTTCCACACACCAGCAAACAGATTGTAGAGAAACCAATTACAGGTGGGTGCTCCAGATCTAAGGCAACCTCCCATTTGCAATAAACAAATTTCATAGAGGCAGGCCAGGATGGCTTTGCCTCCAAAGCTTAAGATGCAATCAGTCCAAATAATCTAAAAACAAAAAACAATGTAGCAGGTGGGAAAGTGTGTGCGTCACCTCATTTGGGTAGGGGTGAAACGACTTCTGCAAGATGTCACAATGTGTGATGTATGAAGATAGAAAACTTAATTTTGGTCTCTTGTGCCAATTTAACAGTCACAACTTCTGATGAATTCTGGGAACTGTAGCTTGGTGATGGGGCAGGACATAATCTATTAATGACTCCCCCTTCCACAGACCCTGGGTTCTTTGGGATGGGGGAAGTAAGAATATTGACTGCAGTGCAGATATATACTTGGAATTAAGTTCTGAGTACATATTTAGGCAAAGGAAGTGGCAAAGCTCCTAGACCAGTGATTCTCGAAGGGTATATGAAGCATGCCACACTGATGTGGCAGGAGAGGATGGCAAATATGGAAGGAAGTTTCAAGGCAAACATTTCAGTGTAGTGTAATGTAGTATAATGGTTTTTCTCTCCAGAATATGGGTAGATATATTTTCAAGATGAGAGAAAGAGCATCGAATGATACTGAGGACAATCCTAGTTGTGTTTTCCAATACATCTCTTATCAATTAAACAGGTTGGTGTGGCACCGGCAAATTTTCATTCTGAAAGTGTGGCCCAGAGAAAAAAGTTTGAGAGCCACTGTCCTAGAATGTGACACTGCAGTCGGGGGGTTTATATGTTTGCAAGTTCTGCCATGAGAAAAGCTCCCTTGTTGCATTCCTTTCATGGAAAGGGATATAGCTCAGTGGTAGAACATCTGTCCTCCCTGTTGATGTCCCAGGTTCAGTCCCTGGCATCTCCACATAGGGCTGGGGATGTTCCCTACCATAATCCAGTGCAGTGGGGGGGACAGACCTGTGGCCCTTCAGATGTTGTTGGACCACAACTCCCCTCATTTTTTTAAACATGGGTGGTGCTGGCTGGGAATGATGGGCATTGTAGTCCAAATAGGGTCACAGGTTTCCCCATCCCTGCTCTGGAGGGTTGACATGACGTGGGCAAGGAGGACATCCAAGGATTTGGCTGCATACCACGATGAATCAAGGCCCCATCTTTGTGAGGTCTCATGCGCAGCCCCTCTCCAAGGACTCAGGAACAGGAGGGCTCCTCCAATCCCTGCTCCCTGAGATTCTTTAAGCTGGAATCGACAGGGACTTGTTTTTCCTATGTGCTCAGGCTGTGCCTACTCCTACCCCTACTCCAGCTAGATGCCTACAGAAAAGCAGAATGTACTGAGACACACTTACACTGATCTTTGTTGCATCCTTATTTGTTACCTGAAAAAGAAAAGAGGGAGAAATTAAACAGGGAGAACGGATGCATCAGAACAATATTTCTCTCGCACCATTCTCCCTCCCCCTCCCCACCTCACATGTACCCATTAAGCAGACAGTTCTCTTCCTCAAACAGGGTTAATGGCAGACCACCTTTCCTGGATTGGGGATACACTCAATTGCTTCTTAACTTACTGCGTATGTGGTTTGGGTGAAAGACAATCGGGTTGACTGGGTGGTAGTAAAACAGTTCTCACATTTTGCTATTTGATAACAGCATTTGAGGGCAGGGATGGCCACAAGTTGGTTAACTGACATATATCACAAGCAGCTGCAGTTCCAAAGGCAACCTTGTAACGCGGAATAGCAATGGCAGAAGCAAGAAAGGGAACTTGGTGAACTGGCCTGGGGTAGTGGGTTTTGATCCATTGTATTTCCACACAAGTCTTTCTTGTCACTTATTATCCATTATTATCCATTATCCTGACCTTCAAATGCATGGTAAAGGTATCTGACAATGTCATATTAACAGTCTTAATCAAATCTACTCAGAAGTAAGTCCTATTCCTACGGGAGTGGGGTTAGGATTGATATTAAAATAAGCAGCGACTTATAAAAGCAACATCAAAATAAAACCTCAATTGATGTTAAAAAGCTAAAAAGGCATAGGAATTTTTTTTTAAGTCTTTGCCTGGCACTGGAGAGGCATCAGAGTGGGTGCTAGGTGAGGTTTTCTGGGGAAGACATTTCAAAGCCACCACTGAAAAGTCCATCTCCTGGCAGGTGCCCACTGCACTACTGATGGTAGGGGGACATGGAGAGATGTTCTGATCAGGGCAGATTGCCATGCTGAGAAAATCACCTTGTCAAGCCTAGCTCTACAACAGGGGATCATAGAATGCTGTAGCTGATGGATTACAAGAACCCAATATGGTAGCATATTGAATCACAGAATTGTAGAGTTGGAAGGGACCCAAAGAGTCATCTCATCCAATCTCCTGCAAGAGAAGAATCACAGCTAAAGAAACCCTGACAGATGGCCATCCAACCTCTGCTTAAAAACCTCCACTAAAGAAGAGTTCACCACTTTCAGAGGTCATCGGTTCAGCTGTTGAGCAGCTCATACCATCAGGAAGTTCTTCCTAATGTTTAGTTGGAATCTCATTTCTTGTAGCTTGAATCTACTGGTTTGGGTCCTATACTCTGGAGCAGCAGAAAACAAGCTTGCTCCATCTTCCACATGGTATTTGAAGAAATAGGTTTTTAGCATGGCGTCTAGAGTGCAGTTTGCAAACAGCTCTGCCATTGTTAGAAACAGGATACTTCAGCTGGGCCTCTTCATTTACCCCATCCATTTAAGGCCCTTTTATGCTACTTTAACAGTTGTGGCTCCCTGCAAAGGATCCTAAGAAGTGACGTTTGTTAAGGGTGCTGGGAACTGCAGCTCTGTGAGGGGTTTTCTAACAACTTTCAGTGCCCTTAATGAACCACAGCCCCCAGGATTCCTTGGAGGAAGCCATGGCAGTTTAAAGTGGTATGATGTTGCTTTAAACTTATGGTGCAATATGGATCAATGCTGCAGGTAAAAAAAGCTATTGGACATCTCAGGCTCAACGGTTGACCAAGGAGGCCCTTAGCAGTGGTGCCCGTTGGCACTGACCCACAACAGGACCTTCTCAGTGGTGGTTCCCTGTTTCTGGAATGCCCTGCCTGGTGAGGTGTATCTGTCTCTCCCATTATTAACTTTCAGGAGGAATTTACAAACATAACTGTTTTCACCCAGGCATTTGATGGCAAAAAGATGCTGTTCATGGCGACCTTAGAATTACTAGCTGTGAAAGTATATTATTATTTTAGAATGTTTTTCGATGTTTCAATTTGCTTTTAGAGGTTTTTTTTTAACATGTTTAAAACATGTTTTTGTTTTTATTGTTTTTTAGCGGATGTGTTTGGTGCCCTGGGCTCCTTGGAGCGGAAGAGCAGGATATAATGATGGTGGTGATAGTTAAATTGAAGATGGGACCAGCAATCCAAGCAGTCCTTTCCCCATGTTGTTGTGGTTTTTTTAGGAGAAGAAAATGAGATGGGGTGGATGGAGCCCTGTCTCAGATCTCCCACGTATTGTCCACTTTGTCTTTGACTTTTGTTATGAGGCTAAAGGCAACATGTAAACCTCATCTATATGTTTTCCTCTCCGTTGCCACCCCAGCCAATATCGCTGGGCGAGTGCATGTTTTGCAACTCCATTTGAGCAGAGCTGGCATGCTATATTCAAAAGAAGCAGATTTTCAGCAATAGCTTTGTGACCTGGAAAGGACACTCTAACAAGAAACACTGTTTTACAGCTCCTGCCTCTGGTTCTATCATTACATCTATTTCCGATGTTCCAGTGGTGAGTGCTGTTCTTTTTGTGCCTAAAATAGCACCATCCAAGCACAAGAGGGAGGCTTCAGAAGACTTGAGGAAACCCTTCCAGAAATGAAAATACCTTCAGGGCAGTGGGGACACCAAACATGAGACAAAACCCTTAGTGTCCCTTCCAACTCGGCCATTCTATGCGTCTGTGAAACATGGTCACTGGCCATGAAATGCTGGTTGACTTATTGGTGCTGGTGCTGGTGAATTGTGTGCATTTCTGTGGAACTGAGTGCCTGGAATCTTGATTGACAGGGCTCTCCACTGCAACATTTCATTGCAGGTCGCCTTGATCACATGTAAAAGCCAATAATCTGCCAGACTTTGCTGTGACAAAGGAACAGAACCCTGGGCGGAGCTATGCAGATGGCTACATGGGGCTTCACAAATGAGAACAGGCTTGGTTATCAGCGGCTCCAGCTAGGTTTCATAGGAAATGGTTGCAATTTGGGATGCAGCTGGAAGGAGGCTGCATGTCTTCCTTATGCAAGTCACTGGGAGCAGCGCAACACCCTCCCTAAAAAGGTAAGAAGACCCTGCTGAAAGAGGCCATTGGCCCATCTAATTCAGCATCCTGGCCTTGCTGTGGCCAGCCAAATGCCTGTGGAAAACCTGGAAGCAGGACCTGAGCGTAAGAGCTCTAACCCCTTCTGTGGCCTCCAGCAACTGTTATTCAGAAAGGTTACTGCCTACTGTGTCTAGTAGCCACAGATAGCTCTCCTCCTTGAATGTGTCCAATCTTCTTTCAAAGCCATTCAAGGTGGTGGCCATCACTGCCTCTTGTGGAAGTGAGTTCCATAGTTCAACTATCCACTGGGTGAAGGAGGAGGAGGAGGAAAGCTTTCCTATCCACTTTCTCCATGCATTGTAGTGGGGGTAAGGCATGCTCTGCACCCCTACAGTGGATGCCTTGCCCTTTGCCAACAGGATCAACATGCGGGAGAGCAATTTGTCTCCATTCAGAGAGCCACCTTATGCCCTTCCCTGCTGTATACAAGCCTTCTCGCCAATTGAGTGTGCACTCATAACTTATGGGTATTTTTGCTAGTACCAATTCACCAGCTGAAGCCCCAGTAAGTGGGCTGCACAGTTTTAGCCGATGTCGGTCTGGGCTTTAGCAATGGGACACCCCCCTACCCAGGTTCTCTTCTACATTTTAATTATTACGAGCCAGAGCAAAGATAAATCATTCTGCCGCAGAGTTATCCCGCAGCTTCTCCAGGGGGGGTGGACATATGCACAGGTCACATCCCACCGGAGGAGGATTGGAAGAAGAAAGAAAAAAGCTAACAACTATGAATCATCGGCAGAGAAAAAGTTCCCTGTGCCAAACAACCCACCTCCTAGATTTGTTTACTTGGCTGGTGGATAGAGGGAAATGGAATGCTCACTTGACAGCAGTGGAGCAGTGAGTCGGTGATGAGAATAAGGCAGTGGAAGCTGGTCCATTGGGGGGAATGAGGAACAGCACCACCAACCTTAGCCTGTCCTCTGCCTGCTGCCTGGCTGCTTGCTTACATCGAGTCCAGGAGGTGGCCCTGCCCACCAGCGTCCTCCTTCCTAAGTCTCATTGAGGTGGAAGGATGGGGACAAAACCAGAATTAGTCAGCTTTCCCTGTCATTGGCTCTGGTGCCACCTACTGTTGAGCTCCCTGCTTTCTGCCCCACCAGTCCAGATGGGCACCAAGCGCCGCTGGAATAAGGGGCGTTTCACACATGTCGTGGAAACAAAATTGGATGCCCTCAACAGAGAGCCATAGCTAAACCTGTATTTTTTCACAAGTGAACCTAGATAATGCACCTATTCTGCAAGCATGTGAGTCACATTCATGCATTACACTTGCATCATCTTAGATGTACACCCCCCCAAAAAAAAATTGGTATACCATAACAATCATTCACCAGTGTTTCAGCAGAATCCTGTCTGTTCATATTTAATTGTTTGGTGTGATCTGTTTATCTCGCCATTAAGTAAAGCAGGTTATGGATTTAGCAGTGACTGGCAAATCTTATATGCATCTGATTACCAAAGAAAACGGCAAATCAGTAGTAATTCTGTTACTAGCTCTACTCTTACTAGAATGAATAATAATAATAATTTTCCAAGGACTGCAACATTTAATCAATAACTGTTAAATTTCTTGAGGGGTAACTTAGACTGCAGTCCTATGCACAATTACATGGGAAAGCAATACAAATTCCTTCTCAGCAGAGATTCATGAATTTTGCCATAAAAAGTGGTGCCTTAATCAACCAGGTCCCTACTTAATTTTTTACAGATGGCAAGGGCTACCTTAAAAGAGGCATTCCCTCCTGTGTATGAGAGGAGGATGCATCTTCTAAGATAAAGTTGTCTGCAAGGAGAGTCGTACATCACTTGAAAACAAAGCAAGCCCCCTTTCTCCTTCAGAACAATTGCTTTTCTCCTGATATGCAAATTTAACAAATTATTTCCCATGCAATTAATGAACTGAAATTAACATAATCAGGCCCCAGTCCTATTAAATTAATTGCATAGTCTTGGAGTAGCTTACCTAGTCATCCTCACATTTTGTCCTCTCAACCAACCTGTGAGGCAGATCTCCTCACATCTCCCATCATTGGCCATGCTGGCTGGGGCTGATGGGAGGGGTAGTGCAAAAGATCTGGAGGGCACTAGGTTGGGGAAGTCAGCTGTACAGTAAGACTGAGATTTAGCAGCTTGCCCAAGGAGAACTTCACATCTGAGACAGTCTTCCCAGTCCATGTCTAGTTCACCACAATCACTCAATTGAACTCTGCATTTTCTGATGCAGATCAGCCTCCTACCTCTTAACTCTTGAGTGTTCATCAGGGGATAGCTCAGTCAGTAGAGCATGAGACTCTTAATCTGAGGGTTGGAGCTCCATGTTGGGCAAAAGTTTCCTGCATTGTTGGACCATCATGGGCCCTTCCTATGATTATGATCAGTGGTTGCAGGGAGACCAACAGTAGGTGGCGCCAGAGCCAATGACAGGCAGAACCAACTAATTCCAGCTTTGTTCCCACCCTCCCTGCCTGCCTTCAGGTCCTTCCAGGGCAACACTGAAACAAGGGCGACCGTCAGTGCCACCTACTGGAACCTTTGTGCAAGTAAGAAGGCAGACAGATGAGAACCTGAAGGCAATGTCCCATGGAACAACCTTCACTGGTGTCTATATAAGCAGGGAGAGAGGGAAGGTCAAAGGTGGCACAAAGGGTGGAAGGATAGCTGGTAAGCAGAGGCACAGTGGCACAGCAGCACCCAGGCCACATTGCGATATTTTAAGTATTTACTTATAGCATTGATATCCCACCTTTCCTGTGAGGTGCTCAAAGCGGTGTCCCCCCATCCCATTTTTATCCTCACAACAACCTTGTGAGGTTGGCTACATCTGTGATCGGGTGACAGGCTCAAGGTCACCCAGGGAGCTTCATGGCAGAGTAGGGATTTGAACCCTGGTCTTGCAGGTCCTAGTCTGACACTCTAACCACTACACTGCACTGGCTTATAGTCCAAGAATATAGTCCAAGTCTAAGCCAAGAATGAAAGGGAAGTTCACCAACAATTACCATTCACAACAACCCATTTTAATAATAATAATAATAATAATAATAATAATAATAATAATAATTCTACCCATATCCTTCCCCACCTTTCATCAAGGGCAGATTTACAACTTGATTCAGTGGGCCTCAGATAGCGCTGATTTGGGGACTTATAAACATTCACCCCATGGAGGTAGCTTGCATTTTGTGTGTCCGTTTCCCTGTGCCGAGAGAGTCCTTGTCATTTAATCTTAACTGTACGTCATAAATACCCTACAGCAACATTTGTCATGTTGCAGATAACTACTGTAATTATCACCAGCCCAGGAAACATGCTCAAGCTCCCCAGCTGTTCCCCACCTGCTCTGAACCAAAAATGCTCTTCTCCTTTCTGCTGTCAGACCATCTCGCCTCCCATGCAGACAACCAGTTGATGTCCTCACGGGTTGATTCTTGCTTTTGAGTTCCGACTTCCTATGTGGCTGCTATGATGCATCATCATCAAAATGCAAAGGTTGTGGCTCACCCTGCAACCATTTTTTAATATATATATATAAACTGATGAACCTAGGGGTGGTGCATTGGAAATGCACCACTGAAGGCCTGTTCACACATGCACGTACACCTCTTGACTCCTTGTCACTGGAGAACTCGCAGCAGAGTGGCTGGATGTGCTGAAGAATCCTGCACCCTGGATGTGTGGCAACATGTGAGCTCCACAAGTGAGCTTTGATCGTTGGTCATCGCTCACATAGGCTCGCCACCGCTTGAAGGGGAAGGCCTGTAGCTCAGTGGTGGAAAATTTGATTTGCAAGCAGAAGGTCTGAGGTTTGATCCCTGGCATCTCCAGTTTAGGGCTGTGGAGGAACCCTGCAGAGCTGCTGCCCATCAGTGTAGACAGTACACTGCTTGATGAAACAATGGTTTCACTCTGTAAAAGGCAGCATCCTATCTCCCTATGTCCCCTTGATTCTGAAGCCACCAAGTCCCATCTGTGTACCAGCCATGGATCCTTCACATTCCTGAAAGTCCCTGCAAGTGCCCCCTCTGTGGCAAATGTTACACCCCCTAGTGGACTGCATTCCTCACTTATTTGTCTGAATCCACTCTGTTACGTGCCGCAGAGATGGAGATAAGCAGAAGCAACCCCAGAAATACCGCTTTCTTGATGCGTGTTGCTGGACTGCCTTTCTTTCTTTCTTTCTTTCTTTCTTTCTTTCTTTCTTTCTTTGGTATTGGGTTTCTGTTCCTACCTCCCGTGGTCTGTATCAAACCTTGCTAATTAATGGTCTATGCATGGGTGGATATATATCTCTATTTGTGAGGATTTATTACCTTGGTTCTGCTGCCGGGGCCACTGATGGCTAATTCGTGAGCAAGCTCTCGTGCTGGTTCCTTAAGATACCACCATTGGATTTCCAAGGAGTAAGAGGTGGATCCGCTGGCCCGGAAAGCACAAGGCATCTCAATATCATCCCCCTCTCTAACAGTCACATCTTTAGGAACTTCTGTAAATGTAGCTGGAGACCAAAAATAAAAAAGGGGGGAGAAGGATAGGGTGGCAAACAGGGAGAGATGGAAAAAGACACAACAGAGCTGTTCTGCTAAGAGTCCAAAATTCACAGCAAAACGTTGCAGAAGGAGGGGCTTTTATCGGCTTTCCTGAACTAGCCAACATGCCATGGATGCCGCCCATGCTACATGGAACTGAAGGGTGGCAGGGACCGGGAGGAGGGAACCCAGAGGTCATGTTGTTGAGTCCCTCTACCCCCTGAAGTGCCCGGAAATGGACTCATCTGTAAGACCCCAATTATGGTGTATCACAAAGGGCGAGGTTTTCCACCCATCTTTGCTTGTTGACAAGGGATGGCCGCCATGCCCCCCACCCCCACCCTCTGGCACCCCCTGGTGATCACTGCAGTCTGGGCACCCATCCATATCAGACAAGTGTCAGAGGAGAGAATGTAAAAGTTTGCCGGATAAATCCCCCCCCCCAGCAAAAACAAAAGCCTGCAGGGAGACACATTTCCCCACCCTCTCCACTTTCTAGGGACCACCACATTTCAAAGGCTGTGTGTCTGGGACATGGTGGTACCCACCCCCTACTGTTTTCACCCCCCCTTTTGCTCTGGGTTCTCCTCTGCAGCAAGAGTGCAGGCATCCCTCAGTCCTGCAGCCCGGGCTGTGTTCTCTTGCCTGCACCCTTTTCTCTTCAGTATCATTCCCCAGACCCCTGCATTTCCAACGGCATGAGCTCACTTGCCTCTTTCTGATACAAGCAACCCACAAACCACTCAAACAGTGCAGCATCTATTTATCTCTCTCTCACACAAAAATATATAACGGTGCACATATCAATTTGCCTGGCTTCCAGACATCAGATCAGTTATGCATCTATAGCCAGCTGTCTGCACAGATTATGGAAACAGAAGTGAAAGGCAGTTAAAATACAGACACTTGCTGCAGACTGAGAACCAGATCCTTGATTTTGCTACCAAAATTAAAGCAAGCGCGGGGTGGGGGGAGAAGTTTGGGACTTACCCTGGACCATGAAGAGCAAGGGGGCATTGAGCATCAGGTAACAAAGGGAGCCTAGCAGCCCTCGATTTTCCATCTCATATATGTGGACTTTGGAGTACAGGGCAAAGCGAGGGGATCGGAGGGGGTGGTCAAAACAACCAGGCTAAGAGATCTTCACATCCCATGGCAGTGCCAAGGCATTGGAGAGCCTGGTCCAGCGAAAGGATCAATACGAAGAGGAATACTTTAAAAAATGAAATGAAATAAATAGCCACCGAGCTCGATTTCTTTCCTCCCCCACTTCTCTCTTCTCTCTGTTCTCTCTCTTTGGAAGCACATATAAAATCCACAGCCAGTTGGTCCAAGGGAGAAAAAAAATTGCTGTCGTGACGTTGGAAGAAATTGATCCTGAGAAGCCAAAGCGTAAATCTGCCGGTTTGATTGTAATTATTAATTCCCACCAGCCAGAAGCCTCTTCTTCTTCCTCCTCCTCCTCCTCCTCCTCTAACAACTCTGCGGCAACCACAATTCAACTTCCTTGGTCTGAACGGGGTTTTCTGGATCCCCCAAACGAGGAAGCAATCCCAGGTTTCCTGCCCAGACCCATCTGGGCTCTCCTCTTCCAAGGGAGAGTGAAGAAGCCGAGAGAGCGATTCCCAGTCTCCCCCCGCGCTCTTCCAGTCGTTATTTCCAAGGGATTTCCCTCCCTCCTTCCTTCTTCCTGACACAGCGAGGAGGAAGAGCTTCCTTCTCCTCCCTTGTGGTGGTGTGTAGGGTCCAAATCAGGCGCAGGATTCGAAGGGTTGGATCCTTCTCTTATTTTTTTTAACCCCCTCTCAAATCAAGATGCTTTGCTCAACCTATAAGAGGAAATTTCACCATCTGACGTTCCGGCGTGGAGGCAGCGGTGGGAGAGAGCCCAGTCCAGGAGACGGAGGGAGGGAGGGACCGAGAGAGAGACAGAGAGAGAGAGGAAAAATTAAGTTGTGTTTCCCTGAGATCAAATGGTTGGATTTTAAAGCTGCACACACGCAGACAGGCAGAGGACGGAGCAAGTCACCCAAGCAGAGGAGGCACGTTGTCAATTGCTATCTGCTTTGAAGGCGTTTGTTTGCGCGTCTGGGAGAGGAAGAACGCCTTCTATGACAGACTTAAGTCCCCCAAAGTGCAATTCCCCTCGTTCATCGCGACCGATATTTCCCAAACTGGGGCGGGGGGAAAGAAGGGGATGGCAGAGCGAGAGCGAGAGAGACAGAGAATTGGTGGCAGAAAGAGAGAGAGAGAGAGAGAGAGAGAGAGAGAGAGAGAGAGAGAGAAGGGGGTGGCAGAGATAGGGGGGAGGGAGGGAGGGAAGGAGAAAGCCGCCTCCACATCGTTTCCCGAAACTAGTTCCCTTCCCATCGAGTTTTTCTTCTTCTTAAGGGAAATTTACTCACATCCTACACAGACAGACAGAGGCTGGCGCCGTCTCCAGCTGGTCCCCACTTCCCCGCAAACGCGCAGCTGGGCTTCCAAGTGCCCAGGAAGTGAGACGCTGCTGTCCCCGAGCCAAGAGCTGGATTCGAATCCCACACACACACACACTCGCACACGCACCGCGTTTAACATTCCGGCGGCGTCCACAGGGCGTGGAAACAGTCTTTCTCTCTCGCCCCCTTCCCTCCCAGCCGCAAAAGGATTCTGACTGCGCGCACACACACAGCCCACTCGGAAGCCACCACAGCCCCCGGTCTGGAAGTCTCACTTTTCCAAATCTCTTACCTTGGTTCTTCTCTCCAGCCTTTCTGAGGTTGGGAAATCATCCGAGGAGAGGAGAAGGAGGAGGAGGAGGAGGAGGAGGAGGAGGAGGAGGAGGAGGAAGAAGAAGAAGAAGAAGAAGAAGAAGAAGAAGAAGAAGAAGAAGAAGAAGAAGAAGAAGACCGGCGCTGGTCGAAAAGGAGGAGAGGCGTTCGGATTTAAAAGGAAATAAAATCTAGGGAGATGATGAGCTCCCTCCCTTAAAAAAAGCAACACGCCAGCCAGAGTCCTTAGAGAGAAAAATGGGGGGGGGGGGGAGAGGCGTCCCTTGCAAATAGACAGTGATGGGGGGGAAAGCCCCCTCCCGGCTAAAAGTCCGCAATGGAGACCATGAAGAAGTGATGTCGAAAGGGAGGGGCGCGAGAGAGCGATGGGGCGCGCGGGAGCCGGCAGGTGCCTGGACTGGATGCAGGGGCAGATGTGGTGGCGGGGGAGGGGACCAGAGGGGGAGGGGGAGCTGGGGACAGACTAGTTGATTCAGAGCAAGTTCGATTTCCGGTTTGGGATTGGGGGTGGGCCGCTGTGTGTGTGTGTGTGTTGCGGTTAGAGCGTGCGGTGCCCATCCTCCGTAAAGGGAGCGGGGGTCCGTGTGTCAGAAACACAAGCTTGATGCCTTCCTCCTCCTGCCTCGATCCCGGATAGGGATGAAGCCTGGTGGAGGGATGTGGGGGAGTCCTGGCAGGTCTCCCCCCAATAGTTCACCCCCCCACCGCCCACATGGCCGGTTCCTCGGAGGGAAGGCGCTGCATCCTCAGCTCGGGATGGGGGTTGCGCTTGGCTGAGCGGCGCGGATTCCTACGGAAACTAACCGCTTCCAAACGAGGAGGGCTTCCGAGAAGAAAGGGTCTTCAGGACGGGGAGGGAGAAGGCGAAATGCCTTGATGGGATTGCTCTCGGAATTCCAACAGGTGAAGCTCGCCCCTCCCTCAAAATGCGCTTTTCCCTTCTGTGCACCCCTCTCAACCCGCCCCCCCCCGCAACCCGGATCTCCACGGATGAAAAATAAGCAGGGATTTGTATTGGAAGTTGTTTAATACTGCATTTCACACTGTCTGCTCAGGTTTCTAGTCCCTGCATTCCATACATTTAGGGACTAGAAACCTGAACAATGAGAAATATTGCGGGGGGGGGGGACCAGTTTGTTTCATCACGTGAGAGCACATTTACTGAGATAAGCTGTTTTAAAACAAAAAATAATTTCTCATGGTCTGTTCAGGTTTCTAGTCCTTAAGTACAGGAAATGTAGGGCTGGCGACAGCACTTTTTAATCCTCAAGTATGTGAAGGCTTTCTTCTGCTCCCTCCATGATGTTATTTCACAGTCTTATATCATTTTGATTGATGATTAACTGGTGACATTTTATTTTATGGTAAATTCTGATGTGCGTTAAATATGTTGTGCAACAGTTTGAGGGTGTTTGGGTCCAAACTGTGGTTCGGATGTATGCAGATCTATCTTCTATCTGTCTATCTGTCTATCTACTGATCAGTCAGTCTCAGTTTATTTGGTCTACAGACCATAAATAATAAACCAGAAACATGAACAACATCAGGCATGTCTGCATGCCAGCTGGTCAGTAAGAACAACTGTTTATAAATCAGTGCCCGAGTTTTGATTTTGATTTTGATTTTCCTCTTCCCTCCATGTCCCTTTTCCCTTGTGTGTCTTTTTATTTTATTTTTATTTTTTAGATTGGAAGCCTGCGGGCAGAGATTGTCTTCTATGTAAGCCATCCTGGGAGACTTTTCCACTGAAGAGCAAGGCACCAACGCTTAGAATAAACAAAGAAACAAATAAGCAAATAAATAAACATAAGCATAAAACACAATACAGCAAAGCAAAAACTCAGTTGTACATGCATACAAATAGGTTACAGTCGCCATCAGTAGAAGAATCATTCTAAACACTGATAATGGCATTTGGAAATCTTCACATAATTTCACATCCAATCCATGCTTCTAAAGAAGCAGCAATCAATGGCAGTGCTATCACAATTACTATTGTAGAGTTGGAATGGTCATTCAGTCCAAGCCCCTGCTATGAAGGGATCACAGCTGCAAAACCCATCACCCCCTGGGTAGCTGCTGGAGCCCAGGATCCCTTGGTGTGTTCACTGGTACCAATGCTGGGCACTCCTAGCTGCATGTTTATGGCTGTGGTCAATGGGCCTGCCAATCCACCTGCTGTTTAAAGCATGGGTAGGCAAACTAAGGCCCAGGGGCCGGATCTGGGCCAATTGCCTTCTAAATCCAGCCCGTGGACAGTACGGGAATCAGCATGTTTTTACATGAGTAGAATGTGCCCTTTTATTTAAAATGCATCTCTGGGTTATTTGTGGGGCATAGAAATTCATTCATTCTTTTCTTCCAAAATATAGTCTGGCCCCCCATAAGGTCTGAGGGGAACAGTGGACCGGCCCCCTGCTGAAAAAGTTTGCTTATCCCTGGTTTAAAGTCTCACCTGGAGTTCCAGAGAGATCCTGTTGTTGGGGCATGATGGGTAATTTAAAAGGCAGTTGGCTCACAGCCACCTTATGCAGTGGTGTATAGTACCTGCCTGATGCTCACCTTGACCATAAACACTAATTTGGGGGTGGGGCAAAAAAATGATGGGGGTGCAGACCCCAATGACATTTTGCTGACCACCCCTCATAAATGGAGCCTTACAACAACATAGCCATAGAAACCTGTGGAACCCTCTCCTTACAGTGGTACCTCGGGTTACAGACTCCTCAGGTTACAGACTCCGCTAACCCAGAAATAGTACCTCTGGTTAAGAACTTTGCTTCAGGATGAGAACAGAAATCATGCTCCAGCGGCGCGGCGGCAGCTGGAGGCCCCATTAGCTAAAGTGGTGCTTCAGGTTAAGAACGGACCTCCAGAATGAATTAAGTACTTAACCCGAGGTACCACTGTACTGAGTTTTGGACAGGCTGCTTTCCTAGCTGAACCTCAGGTACATGGCCAAGAATTTCTTCCCATTTTAAGGCAGTGTTTGGGTTTCCAATGGTTTTATGATGAATTTTGATTACTTTGTTTTCTGCATGGTTTATTTTGTATGCACACCGCTTAGAAATGCTAATGACCAAGTGGTAAATAAATGCAAATAATAATAATAGTCCTGTAGACCTCAGCCACATTAGGCTGACAGCTTGTGGTTGCTTATCTTAGACATGCCACACCAGATTGTGATGCGGGAGGACAAGAAGACAGCAGGCAGCATCCAACTAAGTTCTACTCAGAGCAGACCCTTTTACGTTAATGGACCTAAGTGAGTAATGTCCATTTATTTCAGTGGGTCTACTCAATGAGTAGAACTAACATTGAATGTAACCCAATATTTCTAGGTTTTGGGAGTCTTATTATCCACCTTTTAATTTCTTTTCTTGAAAACCTTCCCAAAGGTTTTCTGCTTTATTTCTGCAGTTTTAAACTCTTGTTAGTTTTTTTTAAGTTTTGTGTACACTGCTTGAGAGTTTATAAATTCTGAAACAAACAAACAAACACCTGCAGCCTGTGCACTTGCTGAGTTTATTTTATTATTTTGTTGTTTTGTTTTATTAGAGAAGTTGGCCTCTGGATTGCTTTCCAGCTCTGGTACCTGAGATCCTCTTTAAATTGGAGATGCTGAGGATTAATCTTGGGGCCTTCTGCGTTCAAAACGTGCTTTGCCTCTTAACATTGTGAACATAAGAGCATAAGAAGCGCCCTGCTGGATTTAGATCCCTTGACGCATCTAGTCCAGCATTCGCTGCTCACAGTGGCCAACTGGATGCATATGGGAGACTCAGAAGGAGGGTATGAGCACAACGGGCTGTCTTTTATCTGACCTCCAACAGCTAATATCCAGAGGCATATTGCCTTTGCTTCTGGAGGCAACATGACCATCACTGAACTATCAGCAACAGATAGCTTTATCCTCCATGAATTTGCGGGATCCCCTTGTAGCAGTGACTTCCATAGTTTATGGCCCAGGCATGCCCAAAGTCCATTTCGGGGGCCTAATCCGGCCCACTGGTTGATTTAACACAGCCCTTGTGGCAGTATATGTCCTGGGGTAAAATCCTAAAAAAAAGCTCATCAACTTCAATCCTAAAAAAGCTGAACAACTCTGGGATAAAATTGTAAAAAAAAGCTCAACAACTTCAATCCTAAAGAAAGCTGAAGAACTTCGGTCAGCCCTCATGCACGTTCACTTCATCAAACGGCCCTCTTTGAAAAAGGTTTGGGCACCCCTTATGCTGTATGAAAGAGTACTTTTGTCTGAGATAGAAAGAAAAACATGCAGCACATATTTAAACTGTGGAACACACTCCCACAGGACACAGTGATGGCCACCAGCCTGAGTGGTTTCAAAAATGGATCAGGCCCGTGGTCCATGTAACCTCTAACCTACCTTACAGGGTTTTTGTGGAGAAAAAAGAAAGGGGAAGAAGAGAACCTTGCATGCCACCTTGAGCTCTTTGGAGAAAAGGTGGGGTATAGATGCTAATGATGATGATGGTGATAATCCAAAACACCTGGAAAGCATATTTTGCCTTTCCCTATTTTGAGATCCCCAGGGATGTTTTCTGCAGGGAACAGTCTTCAGGCATTAGGTCCGCTGGCAGACCAACTCTGTGTTACAGTGATGTCTGCAAACGTGACATGAAGGCTGGCAACATCAACCCCGCCATGTGGGAATCCCTTGCAGATGATCACAGTGCCTGGAGATGGACAGGTCGTGTATCCACAGCAGTGACCGGAGGAGGAAGGACTGTTCTGAAGAGTGCAGAGAGGAGAAACGCCATGATGCATCATCATCAGCACAACGGATGCCTTCATCTGCTCCAGCTGCAACAAAACATGTCTCTCCCATATCATTCTCCACAACAGATGCTGTAACCTTCCAACAGTTTGACTTCACCCCCAAAGAGGCACTCTTCCATTTTCTCCTGAGACAGATGGATGCCAACCAACCTGCTAAAAAAGTTCCAAACTCTGCGACCTTAAGACTTGATCC